CATTAAACCCATAATTGATTTAATGCAGTCATCAAACAGAAAACCTACCTGGCAGGACATTTCTATCCGTAGTCCTACAACAAAACAATACTGGGGACTCTGAGATTCACTTCACATTCGAAACGGCGTCTTATACCGGAAATTCGAATCGGATGATGGGAAGACGTTCCGATGGCAACTGATACTTCCAAGATCCCGGATTCCTGATGTGCTTAAAGAACTACATAACAGCCCTACAGGAGGTAACTTTGGAATAATGAAGACCTTGCATAGAGTTCGTGAGCGCTTTTACTGGAATAATGCAAAGGGTGAGGTGCAAAAGTGGTGCCGATCTTGTGATGCCTGTGCAGGTCGGAAAGGACCGAAGAGATGCAGCCGAGGCAAGCTGCAACTTTACAACGTAGGTGCGCCGTTTGAACATATCGCCTTTGACATCTTGGGACCTCTGCCACGAACTGCTGATGGCAACAAATACATACTCGTTGTCATTGATTACTTCACAAAGTGGCCTGAAGTGCATCCTGTTCCTGATCAAGAGGCTGTTACAGTAGCTGAGGTGACGATACAGCACTGGATTCCCAGGTTCGGAGTGCCTCTTCAGTTACATTCCGATCAGGGAAGGAATTTTACCTTGGCAGTAATCAAAGAACTATGCAAACTACTCGGCATTGAAAAACCCAAACGATGCCATTGCATCCTCAGTCGGACCATCCTTAATAACCTCTCATTAGTGGTTTTCAGAAACCAGTAGGACTGGGACAAGAAATTATCGCTGTTTTTACTGGCTTACCGCAGTGCTGTTCACCAGACTACCGGCTATTCCCCATCACAGATGCTCTTCGGTCGTGACCTTCGTCTGCCTTGTGATCTCTTGTTTGGTCGCCCTCCGGATGTTCCTTCATTGCCTGAGGAATATATTCAAGATCTTCAGGCCCAGTTTGAAGTGATGCACAACTTTGCACGAGAGCGAGTCAACTTGGCGACGGTGAAGATGAAGACCCGCTACGACACAAGAGCTACTGAACATCAATTCCACGAAGGAGACAAGGTGTGGTTGTGGAATCCGACTCGACGGAAAGGACTTTGTCCGAAATTACAGTCACCTTGTAATGGCCCGTACACAGTCCTAAACAAGCCTGAATGAGGTCGTGGTTCGGATTCATAAGTCTTCGAACTCTAAACCTAAAGTCCTTCATTACGACAGGTTAGCTCATTACTATGGCCATAGTACGTAATGTAAATAATTGTAAATAGTGTAAACCATGGTCCTATTTGTTTCTAAATGTGTATTTAGTATTTGATTTATATTTTGCATTTGATTTGTATTTTGTACTTGATTTGTATTTGATAGCATTTGATTTGTTTTATTTATTGCATTTATTGTTCATGTTGTTTATTATTGTAATGCAATGCTTATTATTGTATTCATGCCTTAGTTGTAAGTTTGGCTTCCTGTCCAGGGACTGTACTTCCCGGGACGTGCAGTCCTTGGGAAGGGGGCAGTGTTACGAATTTGGTATTTAAATAGCTAATGTTTGGTTCAATTGTAAATTAAATGGTTTTGTTCCCGCGCAGTGCGGCGCGTGACGAGTGTTGCAAGAAACTGGGCCGGAGGGTTGAAGGTGCAAGAGCACGTGCATTAAACATTTGATAAATATCTCTTTTTGATTTCGGTAAAGTGCTAGAGGGTTCTCACGCGTGATTTTTGAGATCTTATAAAGGGCGGAGGGCCTCTCAGTTCCTGGTAGTTACTTAGTTTGTTGTTTAGAAAACTGCTCTTGTTGACTGTAGCGAATTCGCGGATTAGCTTTCTTTAGCTGTTTTGAATTAAGTTCTATTGAACGTTTGAGTAGTTAGAAGATAACTACTGTGATATATGTGATACTGCACGATTACTTGAGGACATTTCATCATATTTGTTGTGATAATAATAAATTTTCTTCATTTTTCATTGGACTTGTGCATTCATTTCGTAATGAACCCGTACACACGCAACAATATATATTTTTTTTATTTCATCAATGCAGTTTTTCAACATAATCCCCATTTTATTGAATACAGTGATACAAATGGAAAACTAATCCTTTAACCTGTTCTTAAAAATCGTTTTCAGCGTCTCCTCAATCCACCTATTTATGGCACGGTTAAATTCTCAAATTAAACAAACCATAAAGGTTTCTTCAAAGGCAAGAACAGAATATTTCTTGCAAATGCTGAATAATTTTTGAAGATTTCAACCCTCTTTCCACAAAAGAAAATGACAGTTCTTTGTTTCTTCCATAGTTGCAAAAACTGTGCTACAAAAATGCATCTGTGTCAGGCAAACAGCTGACTCAGACTAATTGCAATTGCGTGAACTGTCGTAAACATGTTGAGACTTGTCTCTGTATTTGCCTATAAGTTCTAAGAATTAAACTAAAGCTCAAAGTCCCATGCAACTAACACATTCACCAGGAGCTAAAGCAAATTATCTGAGTTCAATAATTTGACTCGTAAAGTTGTATTTTTATTTCATGTATTATTGACCTTCTGCATTTGTATATTTAAAAAATACTGACATCTGAAATTAAATAAATCATTTTCAAGAACCATGCACAGAATAATAAAGTAGATGGTACAAAAATCAGCAGGAACAAGAAAAAGATAAAGGGGAAAACTTATCCCCATTTTCGTTTGGAAATATGCCTAGAGAAAATACTATTAATATATATAATATCTATCTTTCAAATAATAAATTAATAATAGCTTTTTAACTCACATCTTCATTCTAAAAATAATAACATTACTGGTCTGCGTCATTTCCATATTAATCTATGCCACAAAGCTTGCGTAATGCTGATGACGTAGTGATTGGGAACCTAAACTCTGAGAACTGAAACTTTTCTAACTCAAACCAAAACTACCTTCTTCACGAGCTTCCATATCGGATAACTGCATAACTTAGCTTCGCTCTCTCGAGCGAATCGGTCTCGTATTCAAGACATAATTTCTTTGTGCTCGCTTCCTGTTGCAAAAGTATCAAAAATCTAAATGTTCTGTGAATAGGCACAACTAGAGTGCCAAGTGATTGTGACCACAAATGTCAGCTGGAAATAAAAATGGAATTAAAACCACCTCGATTGCCAAGTTTCTTAGTCATTACGAATTCTACATGCTAAGTATCATCTTCACAATCAGTATTTCTATTTCTCAGTGTTCCTACATCGATACTTCTCTGAAATTTGCTTTATATATATATATATAGGTCAAAAATATAATTTTTGTTCATTTCTCCGTATAATTAAAAGTTCAGAAAGAGAAAAAGCAGAATTCATTTAAAATACATTCTTCAAACAATAATTCTGTTTCCCATCTAATATTTTAAGTGTTACTATCTTCATTTTAATAATTTTATTAATATGATCCCCTTCAGCAAAATCTTGAGTCATTTAACTAAAATAATGCACTTATACATATATATAGATAAATAAAAATATGTAAATCAAAAGTATAACTTAAATTAGCAGGAGTCCCTTAGTTCTTCATTTTAATTTGTGTTCTCTCCTCTCTATTCTAAAAATAGTAATTGCTTAGAATAACGTTTTCCGTAGTGCGTCTTTTTTAGATTAATCCATATCACATGATTTTTACATAATGCTAATCAACATTCCCAAATCATTATCATATATATCACTAAACTGATACTGGAAATTAAATTTAAAACATCAGACTGCATGAAGTAAAATTACTGAATAAAGTGTATCAGATGATATAAATAAAAGTAAAATTTAACTGGCAAGAAAATGTCAATCAACTGACATTAGTAAAATCTAACTGAAAAAAATGGCATTTCAGGTATTACAGAATATACAAAAAGAATATTTTGCAAATATACTAAACACAGGATATTATAAAAAAAAAAAAAAAAATTAATTATGTAGAATTTACTGTTCACTCTTCCTCCACAAAAAAAAAAAAGGGTAAAGTTAGATATTTTCAAAGGACATATTGAAAATTAAACAGAAAGATACTTAAGAAGGAATTTGACCTATACCCAGTGCAATTTCTTCTTTACAACAATATGAGAGGTAATACTTATTTTTTGAAAGGTTAGCTTGAGAGGCAAATACACTTTACCATAATATGTCACACATGTTTAGCAAGAAATTGAAACTAGGAAATCTGCTGGTAATTTTGTAAGATAAGATTTTCAGTTCTCTGAAATGTCTTCATTATTCCTGAATGTTAAAACACAGCAATCAGATATGGATGTTTAAGAACTTTGTTGCATGATCATTCATCAGTTTCAGTTCCATTTTCATAAGCCTATAAATTAATGTGCCCTATTTTCTACTTTCATAACACAGTAAACAGTACCATATCACTGATGTTTAAAATCTGAGAGCAAATAGAATAAATTCTCATCTAAGAAAAGCCCACTAGTTGACAACTCATTTGTCTGCTAATTTTTTATACTTAACCACAAAAGATGTGAGCTACTATTAGTTCTACCCAGCGAAACACAGCCTCAAAGTCCCTAGATAACTGCTGCATGCTTTGATATATTTGAATTGCCATTTAATGGAATTGATCTCTTTGAAACTCGCTATCCACTATGTTAGTAGTGACTTCAGCTAAATAAGTTTCAAAAGCAATGAAATTATTTGCACAATGTGGCATGAAATGTTTCCACATTGCTTGCCATTTATTCATACCATACTTCACCTATATTTTCAAAAACAATTCTAATGTAGCTGTTCCAAAAAATGTATTAAATTAGTGCATTTTCTCCTATTGTAGCTTTTTCCTCCCAGAATTTAATGTTATTTTACTAAATTAAAATTTAGTTTATTTTGAAAATTTTAAACTGTATTAAAATGAATCTGTACTGATCACAAATGGACTATGCAAATTACTGCTGTGTTTAAGGGGGGCGACTAGTAAATTTGGCTTGAAAACTTAATATTTACTGATTAACCTTTGTATAGTTTTCACTCAAAAAGAAATTATATCATTATTACCTGTTGAGCTGGAGTAAGAGATAAAGATACTGGTATAGTAATGAACTGTTGCTGGGTACCACCTGAAATAAATTTTCTAATTACTTTTCATATAATACCATCAAAAGATAAAATTAAAATGAGTCAAAAAATTAAAGTATGACTCAATCCTTAAATATCATACATAATTAAAAAATATTTTCATCTTCATTCTTTTCTAAAACACATGAGAACTCAAAACGTGCAGTAAATACTTCAACATTAAATGCGTATTACAGTTTTATTAAATTGACATTTTTAATATATTATCCTTTCCTTTACAAAATAATTTAGAGTGCTGTTTTCGAAAGAAGGGGATGGGGAATCCTCATCAAATACAGCAGAAGGGAAATATTATGTTGTTAGGAAAGTTAATTAATTTTTTTTGTTCATATAGATGTCATTAGCAATACATCTAAGCTAGAAAATTGTATGCATTTTGACAATATATATTACAAGCTTCAATGAAATAAATAGGGAATATATATATATATATGTATGTGTGTCAAATCTTTGTTAAAAATAATAATACCTGCATAAAATGGAAAATCATCTGTGATTTTTTTAACCTTTTATTATTATTATTACTATTATATATAAAGGTTAACATGAGGTGCAAATGTGCAACAGATTATATACTGTGTATGCAGATCATATGCTAGTTGAATTCCAGGGTTCTTTCTGGAAATACTAAGAGAGCCAGCTGTGGCTGATAAACCATTATAATACTTTGGTACAGGCAAATCACTGCATAACAGGATGAGAAATTGAATGTATCAGATTTAACCATTTATGTGATTTGAATTAATTTTATTTCAAAAAATAATATTTTGATGCACAATCTTCTGCAATTTGCTGTTGAAATGAGAAGGAACTAATCCATTCCTAAAGCAAATTGTAACTGGAGATAAAAAACCGGTTATTCATCATAATTTTAAATGTAAGCGATCATAGAACAGATGTGATGAGCCAGCTCAAAACATATTTATAGCAAAAAATATAACTAACTCGTTAAAATTATTTGCTGCAATTTAAAGCTGCAACAACATGTCATACTTATTGTTGATATTAAAAAGGATACTTTAGAGAAAATAATTTGATGTCATTTAAAAAATTATAGTTTCTATCACAGTAACTGCGACCTTTGAAAATGCTGAGGTAAATATTCTGTATTGAGGTATCTATTCATCAGCTCTGAACAGATAAAAGAATAGGCATAGTAATAGAAGTTGCAACTAATTTAATTACTGTACACTGCAGAAAAAAAAAAAAAAAAAAAGTTCTATATACCTCCTGTTCTACTAGGCTGATTGACGAAATTCAAATTGCATTTTTCATGTCTCAAAAGCATGACTTAGGATATATATTAGATTTAGATATAGCACTGTTCTAATATAGATATTTTGATACAAAATCGAACTTTTTCTGAAACAACATACTAATTTTTTTCTATATTTTGATGATTCAAATTATGCCTAGATATTAAATTTTATAATTTTTGGTGAGAAATTAAAATATTTCTTTTGACGCATTTTTTTTCAATTTCCGCCAAGAATGGCGAACTTCTTAATTTAGCTAATTCTTTAAAAACTACTCGTGTGATTTTTACAAAACTTGGATAATTTGAGTCATAGAATTGAAGTATTGAAAACAATTTGCATGTCATTTCAGAAAAAGTCCAATTTTGTGTCAAAATAACTATATTAGAACAATGCTATATATATATTTAATGCATATCCTAAGTTGCGCTTTCAAAACATGAAAAACACAAGTTGAATTTCGTCAATCAGCCCAATAGAACGGGAGATATAGAACTGTCACTTTTTTTCCCCACAATGCACCTATCTCATAAGCATTGTAGTTTTAATGAGAAGTTAACACATTATATGAGAGGTTCAAGAACCAACTAGCAGATAATTATTGTATCATTATTTTACTGCCTGAACTTATCTGGCAGAGAAAAGTGAAAAGTTCCATTGTGCTCAATGCATATCATCTTTTCCTATTTATGCAGGACTACCAGATTTGCTACTTATTATAAGTCTGGAATATTAAAAAAAAAAACTAGTTATGCTTTCCTATCAATTACTATGGATGAATAATGGAAATTCATTGATACCACAAGGTTGGCTATTCAAGTTAATATTAGATTTATTTACAAGTCATATGACACTATATATCAGTTACTGTTATTCATGATAGTTATCAATGATTAGGTCTCTCAAATTATACAATATTCTTTTTCACATGAAAAATAATTTAGTTAGCTTTTATTCAAATGCAGTAATCAGTTTTATAGCAACTTGTTTCTACAGTCGGAAACCACAATTTTCTAAAAATTTTCATGAATTTATTTATGTAACAACAAGCTACATATTTTCACTTAATCATCCTAACTACATCATTTTGATCTATTTTAGTTGATTTATTTGAATATATAAACTGATTTACACCACTGACATATTTACTTTTCTGCAAAGCAGCATTAAATGGTGTACATTAGAGTGCAGTGGTCAGATGTGATTACTTTGAGAGACATGCAATAAATACTGACCAATAAACTGAAATCTTAAGTTTTATTAAATCATTCTTAATAGCTTTTAATCACAGTAGTATGATACTACTGTATGTAAAATCTCCCTTTTTTTAAGATTATACTTCACCTGTGCATTACATGCTCAGTGTATCTAAAACATAAATATGTAATTAATTTCATACAAAATTAATATTTTACCTTGTTCTTGACCCAGATTTAGTACAACACCTTCAGGTAGATTAGTTGGTGTTGCATATACTAAACCTTGACTTGTATGATATAAAACAGCACTATTGTTTGCTTGTAAAATAGTCTGAGGGATGACTACATTACCTGGGAAACAAAATATTTTGATTAGTATTTTGTGTATATTGCAAGCAGTAAAATGGATAGCAACAAAAAAGAAATAAATTTTTTCATTGTTTTTAACACATATTTAATGGACATGCCTCATTTCAATACATTTGCATGTAAAATACACCAAAATTTAAAATGCCTCTGGTTATGCAGTAAATGTTTATTACAACATCCAAAAGAAAAAAGGAATTTTCACTCTGTAGCAAAATATACTGTAATCAGATGGGAATCTTTTTCTACACATTGAACATTGTAATAGAAGTGTTGTTATAATGATTGGTTCTTACAGCAAGTGTCAACTGTATTTAAAATACAGAATATATTTTAGTTAAGAAAACAACAGCTGAATTTTTTTTAATAAGACTTTTGTTTTCCCTTTTTTATTTTTTCAAATTTTTCTTACAATACCTTTTAAATGCACGTTGTTAATTATCACACAGTTTTCAGCATTTGCTATGAAGTTATAATGGTTAACTTCTTAATATGGCTTATAAAACTAAAAAATATAAATAATGACCCTTATTTTTTCACAATGCAAATATGTAACACCTTTTTTTATTATACCAAAGAACACTTAATAAAAATATAGGGCAGGTAGAACATGAAGTCTCATGTTAAAATTTCATTTTGATAGCTTAAATAGTTTCAGTTTGTATATAACTTTCAGCAGAATTGTAAATGAAATTCATTTACTTTAACAATTTTAGATATATATACAAATCAAAACAAGTTAGTTACAGAACTAGAGTGGCATTTACATTTGTATTCTTTTTCTCTCTTCAGAAATGCACTGTGCAGAAGTTAGTGTTGCATTTGAAAAATTTCTTAAATATTAGGTTTACAAGAAAAAAAAAGGATATAGTAATAAATAAAACTAAAAGATTAAAAAAAAATGTTGTCCCCCCACACACACACTGTTTTAATTTTAAGTATATGGTGTTCTATAAATTTACACCTATTTTAAAATATTTTTATGAATTCAATGACATATTGTCCTATTAAATTTTTTTTTGCATTCAAAGACATACTGCACATGCAAACTTTCTTTTGGCATAAGATAATACATTTATATAAAATTATTACCAATAGATGTTGTTGTATCATTAATATTTCAAAAACAAACAAATTTAAATTATTTTTAAAAGGTGCATTGACATTTGTCATGGATTGAAAGTATAAAGTATACCACGAAATTCACTTTCCTAGATTTTTCTATGACTATAAAAAGACTATGACTATTATAGAGAAAATAATTTCTCTGGCCTAATATGATGAATTAGTTAAAAATTACGTATGCATAAGTAAAAGTTTTACAATTAAGTCAAATTGGAAGAGAAACACTGTTGTATACAATTTAAAATTAGGCAAAATAACAACCTTATTTAGGCATCATAAAAGAAAAAAAAAAAAAAAAAAATATGTCCGATCGCCCTCAAAATCTATAGAGTTTTATTCAATATCTGCACCAGAATTGGCTTAATGTTAAAAAGTACAGTTAAATTAATCCATTTTTAATTTCTGTATACAGTGTTATTTTTTAGATTATGCAAATGTAATTCTGTGAACCAGATAAAAGAAACATATACCTTAATCACTCAAGGGATCGCTATTTTAAGGGGAGAAAAAAAGCAAATCTTGGAGGAAAACTATTTGCTCTGCGAAAGAAATTTATAATAATATATAATATTTATTAAATGTTATTTTCTATCATTTTTCAGAATAAACTGAGGAGCCAAGAATTAACATTAGATTGAAAAAGTTTCTCTTTAGTGTAATTATTATAACTTGTTGTGACTTCTAAATTTATTTTTGAAGGGCAGTTACACATTTAAAGAGAAGGGAGATAAAGTAGTTATATTTCTAAACAAAATGGTGACCAATAACTGATGGAGAAGAATAATGGATTGATAAAACTGTATAAGATATGATATGGGTTAAATACTTTCTCTAAGGGAAAAAATTATAATAACTCTTCATTTATTTTATTTTTAAGAGAAGCAATTTGTTTTTGTCTTAGTTACTATTTAAAACACAAAAATCTGTATTAGAAAGTATTGGTCTATACTTTTTTACATTCCTCATTTTTGTAAAAAAGATAATGGCCTTTTCTGATTTTTTGTAAGAAAATTTATATTTTTCCTGTCAGTTTTTAATTTCAGTAACTTTTCAGGATTTTCCAGAGGGGAATTCTGTATAAATAGTACTGTAATATTTTTGTGAATTCAACTGAACAAACGTAGTAAAATCTTAATTTTCTCATTATAACCTGACGGTGTTTCTTACAGTTCCTATCCGTTGTTAAGAATTTGAAATAAAAACTATTCTTCATCCAAAAGAAATTTACCTCTTTAAAAGTTAAGTCTTTGAATGCACACTGCACTCTGATATGAAATTTGTTGATTTTAAATGATTTTTTTGAAAAGTGCTCAAATTTATGGAACACTCTCTCTATAGAATATACTTCAAAAATAAATAAGCATTATGAAATTGTCTCCAATGATATAAATACACGACACAGCAACACTTCTTTTCTTTTCTCAATGTTTCTCGTTCAAGGGATATGGATGTAAATATTCAGGGTCCCATAAAGGCAAGTTCCTAAATGTACAAACATTTTTAGGGCAGAAGACTGCGATAATGAAAACTGTCAAAGTTAGCACTTGCTGAAAAGATTACCTTCAGAGTATTTTCTAAGAAAATATGATTCATATATTTATATGACATAGCTGAAAACAATTGTGAAAGATATACAATCGTAAATGTTCTGTGAGGATATGAATATAGGACAGAGCTCATTATGAACTTGAAATACTGAACACAGATCAACTATAATAAATTAAAGCTTATTTCAAGGATATATTTACTTTCAAAGTTCCTTTAAAAAATCTACGGAAAAACATTTAAAATTTTTTTTCTATTAATTTCGTTTTGGCAATTCACTATAAACGGTGCTTCACTTTTCAGTTTGTTGCCACCAAATATTATCGCCCTCTATTATATTAAGAATTAAATAAAAAATTAACAAAGATTTAAATATTAATTGCCCCGCATTTATTTAAGAAATTACCTAAGAAAATCTGATGAATGCCGTAGTTCTATACTGTGAAAAAACAACGGGCCCCCTCACTTCTACATAACATACCTAGAGACATCAAATTCTGAATAGTGTAGTCCTCCATTCGAATATGGGCATCTGGAAGCCCAAATTTGGAATTTGCTTTATTATCTATTTCATATTTTGTCAAGCATTAAACAATTTTTGATTAACAAGCTCAATGATTTCAAAGCGAGCAATGGCAATACTGCAAGGAAAAAAGACAAAAATATCTATATCTCCAGCACGCGAGACTGCGTATCGGAAATTCTAAAGATATGTCCTTTTAAATATTTTGTGATTTTGGTGTTGAATTGAATTTTTAGTTTAAGTGCGTAGAACATGATATTTAATAAGTAAATGTAACACACAAAACGTTAAAAAACGCCCCTTTGGGCGAAGTATAAAATCTGAAAGCTTTCAGGTTTTTATTTGTGTATAAATTCTTTTGTTAATTTTTTTTATTTTATTTATTTTTTATTATATAAAAAGCTTCTTATACTTCAATGGTGCCTTTTTTATAGAGTTAATTTTTATTCTGCTTTATTCGTCATTTTATAAAGAAGCCAGGCTTTCTGCCACCCACTCCCTTCCTAAACTCTAAAATTTTGCCACTCCTAAACTTTGCTTATGGTGCACTTGCACCGATTCTGGCATCGATCCTGAAAGCAGAGCATAAGATTTAAAGCTACTATAGATACTTCATGCTTCTGCTAATCACTTAATTAAAAAGTAGTCCTTTTCTTGAATAATTTATTATAAAATTAAAATGAGCTAATTTAAAACTAATATATGCGTAACTAACCTGAAACTACAGATAAATTAGAAGAGCCTTGAACAACTGACAGAGAATTTTGACTAGATGAAGATGAGTCAGATGTTGAAGCTACTGCCTGGCTTTTAGACCCTCCTACAAGATAAAAAGAAAACATAATATAGTTACAAGTAGGAAATATATATATTTATATGCATAAAACTGCCTACATGCCAAATAATACAAATATCTCTTACATTTCGCTTCATACAGAAATACAAAAGTGTTCAAAATGGAAATATTTATAGAAGTTGCTTGAGTTTTAATTTCTGCTCAAATTTCGGATATCGTAAATGTCTAATTAATAAAACAATAATCTATTTAAAAAATGAAAAAAATAATATCAGCTTTAAAGATGGGCATAATCCATCTGTAAATTAACAATGATTTTAAAGAAATTTTCTGCACATTTGGAAATAAACCCGACACAGGTATTTTACCTTCAAAGTTTCAAAGAGTAAAGGGTACTATTCCGTTTTGAGGACCGTAAAAATCGCCAAACTATTGGAAGCAGTGCCGCTAAAAAGAAGCCAACCCTACGCAAGAGAAATAATAACGAGAGAAGAGGGTTTTATTTGATAAGGGAAAAATATAAAGTTGCCATATTATAAAATCAAAAAAAAGAACCGATCAGTGAAAGAAAAGGGTGAAAACTTTCGTAGAATTAGAGAATCAAAAAAAATCTGGTAACCAATGACGTCCTTGTATGAAATATTATATATACGCAATTTTCCCACATTCATTTAAAAATTGAATAACAATAAAGAATTTGAATAAATCTACTCGTCGATAGCGCTTAGCAAATAGATAAAGCACCCTTAAAGTTCACTAGATTTATTTACCATAGCGACACTCGGCTACGTTCACTTCCAGCAATACCTCATTTACGATCAGATGCACAAAATTATATCATCTGACTAATTACGTAATTCCATTCAAATAAATAAAACTAACATTAAAAGAAATAGCAAATAAAAAAAAAAAAAAAAAACTTCTCGCAGACGATTTCAGCGCCGCTTACCTATGCGTATGCGCTACTAATTAATTCAATGTCACTTGGCGGAAAGGCAAAAAATATAAATCAAATATTTCATTAAAATTTACGCTATAGAAAAACAAAACACCAAATACAGTTAAACAATTAAAAAATATTTTTACACTTAAGTACAATTTCTAATAAAATAAGCTAATAACTTAAATGTTAATTCCATAATGAATTAAGCATAATTTAATTCGGACGCGTTTGCTAGTTTTGGCGCTTTTGCGCATACATTTTCGCTGCAATTTTTTTACGGTCCTCAAAACGGAATAGTACCAAGTAAAATTATTCTGAGAAGGAGGAAATCTCTTTCAGCAAAATCCAACTTTTTATCTCCCTCCCCAAGTTCTCAATCATCTATCACTTTAAATATTTTCCTTATAGAATTTGATTTGGTTTGGAAGCATAAACTATTTCCAAAGTACTAACAGACACACAGGGAATTATAGCTGTGTCTAAAATAATTATAGAGATTTTAAAAAGTTTAAAATACATTTTTATGTAACAGAACTTTAAACATAAATGCACTTCTCGTGCTAAAAGAAATCAACCACTACTTGTGGCGATGCAACTAAAGTAAAATTCAAATTTAAATCAAAATTCATCAAATTCCATCACCAACTTCCTCTATAAGCCGCGATTATCAAGCGCATAGCTCGATGTTTTCCGGCTCTTGATTGTAACAAATGCTAAACGCTAAATTTAATAACAACTAACTGTTTATTTGTTTTGAGTATAAAAAATTCATCTAAGTAGTTATTAAAATGAATTTGATACGCTTATAGAGTTTGAATTGCTTTGGGAGTATAAACTAGTTCCAAACTCTTAACAGAATATAACGTATTATCGCTGTGTCGTCTGAAGTAATTAAAGACCTGAAAATATTAAAACAGACCTTTGAATATAAATGTACTTCTCGTGCCAACAAGATCCACCACAATCACTTGTGGCGATATATTTAAAGTAACAGTCAAGTTTAAATTTAAAATGTAGACCAGAAGTCAAAGACTATACAATTAAACTGAAACCGAATTTAGCTAAAAAAATCTAACAGGCGTAACAATTCACAGGTAGGCAGCAATAACATAAAGCCGAAGAATTACAAATTTATCAGGAAAAGTAGAACTAAAAAAACGTGGCCTCGAGAGGCAGAAACACACCTGGTCTTGTAATCCAGAAACATCAGCTTATATACTGTCTACCTCATTTACATTTCTGGTGAAGAAACGGAAAGGTAAAGTTATAGTAAAAGCTGAAATTATAAATATGTTACATCCTTAAAAACTATTACACAGGGTATACCTAAAAATATCATAATTGTGATTTTCATGCTTCCTTCTGAAATTATTTGTCGTGCAATCTTCTAGACTATAAAAAGACAAAACTCTTCCTATCACATAATATTAAAAACTTACACAAAAATTCTTTCTAAAAATCCTATACATATATATGAAAGCTGAAGCATTAATATATTAGTATAGTAATCTTAGCACTATAATATTTCAAGTCTTTTAGATACATATTTTGCAAGGCATTTAGTTTGCAATAGTACTTTCTATCCATTCAGCTTACTGGTTTAACACAATTATCAATTTACTGGCAGATGATAGGCCAGCACTTCTGCAATACCACAGGTGATTGAGGTATTGCTGAACCTAGCTACTAAAGTAACTGTTAAACTTCCGCTCCGAATGGTACTGTGAGAAAGAAAACTACGGGGGGCGATGCGAGGGTCTCTCATCCCTCTTTCCGTACCAGCAACTTCTCGGGAGGATTTCGCTTTGTAGTGCATTTGTGTGCCCTTCTGCCGCACTGACGGCATGCCTTCTCTGGGATTCGAACCTGGCCATTCGATACGGCAGCTAATAAAACCACTACCCACTATGCTATGCTGTCTGCACGGCGTTTCCAAAAATAGTGGTAAACATAACACTCCTTTAATGACAAGTATTCTGACATAATTTCAACGTAATAATTGAATGTAATATCTTCATAGCATTAAGTCGTTTCCTGGAAGACCAAAAGTCTCATGAAATGCTCTCCAATTGTATCCTAAGCCAAATGAAGAGATCGAAATCAAACAAAAGCCCGAATTTTACTCCTGACAGCAGTTTCGTTGAAACTGCGTCCGATATTATCAAACCTTTATTATTACGGTAATGAATGCAATAAATGTGTAGTTATCTTTTATCGTTGAAGTGAAAACCTTTTTTTTTTAATCAATTACAGTACCTTTGAAAGTAATAAGTTCTCAAATTTTTTTAACCATTTTTTATGGTCAACTCACACCAAAACAAAACAATTGTCTTGTGTGTAGAGGACGAAGGTATTTAGATGTTACGATGATAATGATGATGATTAAAAAATAGTATACAGAAAGCAATATCCAACAGCAAAATATCACTAAGCGGAATAAGCTTGTGGCAGTTATTTCTTGAATACTGTGGCAGATAGTCAGATTTGCTTATTATGCTTTCAAATGTTTGGAAGACTGGTGAATTCTATTTCCTAAAGAATTCTCGGTCTTCTTTCAACATGGTAATACATCGTTGGCACCATGTTAACATAATGAATCAGCAAAATTGTTATTTCAGGAATGGAAGTTTTTAAAAATTCGAAAGAAAGATTTCGAAATATCGTTATGACTTAAGTACGAAGACATTTATCTTCTACTGCTATAATATAAAACATCAAAAAGCAATTTAGAAAATGCATGTAAATGAAAATAGCAAAATATGCATATTCGTCTTTCTTGACGTGGTGCTGACCGCATGATATATAAATATGTATTCATCTTGCACATTTTGTTTAAATAGCAAATGTATCGCTTCATTTTTTCGGCTATATACAAAGTGGTCTAACTAATTTTTGATTGTCTCACCTTATGCTTACGAACCTTAACAACTAAAAAAAATGTGTTAAAACGATGGGGATGCGGAAGAATCGGTGTTGGAAAGAGCACATAATAATTTCGCATGTTTCTGGGTGATTCATACTTATATTTTGATTATTTTTATCTTCTAAACTAGTATTACAAATTTGAGATACCATAATTTCAAAAATACCTAAAGCATGGTACACCTCAGAAAATACATATGAATTTATTATTGTATTGTATTATATATGTTGATGTATACGTTGTGTATGTAAATACACAACATATACATCATGCATTTAAATTAATGTATATATTTTAAGTTATAGATAACGTAGTAAATACGCATATGCAAAAATAAAAAAAAAAATGTATTATTATAGAGTTATTTTGCATAAATTGTGGAACTGCTAGAAAGTGGCAAAAACGGCATTTCAGTCAATTTTATATACCTCAGGAAAAACTTTAAACAAATGTTGCAACATTAGCTAATAATGCATTGCACAGAGGAAGGAAAAGTAATCCTCCCTCTGTTATGTATTGCCTCCATGCAGATATAGCAAAACAAGCCATTTAAAAACAAAAATACCTGCTATAGCAAGGGAAAATGACTGCCCGGCGGCAGGAATTCCATAAATTGCCTGCTGTGGTGGGCTATCCCTCTGCCCGCTAGGTGAACTAGGAGACTCAGGAGATTGGAATGTTCCAATCTGAACAGCAGGTGATAATTCACCACCTAAATAGGGAAATGTGGGATAGAGTTTTCGGATTTTCATTTCTTTTTATTTTATGTATTATTTCTACTTTCGTTTTATAATTTTAAATCGAAGCTGCCTTTATTAGATTTCTCTTTCTGTTTAGATTATAAAAATAATTCATGAAATAACATAAGTGAAGTTATAGAATTAATACATTTTTAATGAAAGATACAGTTATCTCATTTTTGCTCACGAAAATTATCAAACAAAAGATTATCACGTACCATCATTGAATTCTTAAGATATGATTAAAACCTAAATAAACACTTGATATTATCAGTCCAACTGTAATATGGGCATCAGTGATAATATTTCAAAATAACTGATTAAACCAATCTGAAGAGTAGTGCCAGATACTAGTTCTCTTATTTTACAATAAAAATATTCTTTCATCTGAAGTTTTGTTTTATTGCTCAGTTCTTCTTATAATCTTTCATATCAAGAGCAGAAAATCGAATTTTTAATTTTCATCAGAACACAGTTACCTTTATTGATAAAACTGAAGTACTTTGTTCTTTAAAAATACCTTGCGGTAATCAGAATATTTATACGACATTTAATATGAATATCATTGAACGATTAATATACGCCTGGTTTTTACGAATAAAAAAAAATCTGTGATTTTGACAAATATGTAGCTCTAAATTTAAGAATACAAGATGACAAGTAAATCAACATTTCACCATGATTCTTATTTTTACTGCTTACATAGAATTACCGAAAATTAAGTAGATGTGACTCGAAAAAGTATACATTACACAGGATCCTCAAACAGGCTAAATCCTACACATCTTCCAGTTATAAAGTTTCTCAAAATGAGCTGGAGAACTTTAGAGAAAAAAATTACCGTATTGTGAATATAAAGGTCTCAAATAAATTTTAAAAAACTAGCTTTTTATGTGATTCAAACAAATCAAAATGTTTAATTAATAAAAAATTCATTATATTTTAATAAGTTAAATACTTTAAAGTAAGTTTCTATACTTTTTAAGCACTGAATTCGCAGCTCCAAACGAATTATCTGAGCTAAATTATTTTTCAGCGCCCATTAGCGATGGAAATCAGCCGAATTTAAGGAGCAACTTCAAAATAAATTGCTCGTTTTAGCGCTGCACTGACAAAAAGAAAAAAGGAGCTCTCATATTAATTTTTGCAATTATCTCCAATGAAATATTATTAAGCACATCTTAGCCAATTTTGCAAATTAAGGTGTGGAACGTTTTATATTTAATTTGCTTAAGTATATTGAACTTTTTCATAATAATGACACTTTACTTGATCGACACCATACAAAAAATACAGAAAATCCACCCTTACAGCGCTAGAAATATTTTCATAAAATTTTCTATCTTATTGAGAAAAAAAAACTCTAATTAGAAGCACACATATTAGGAGCAAATTAATAGAAACTGTAACCACTTTTTGGAAAACTTAAATTGCTCCAAAGCACGGCTCTGGTACTTCTTAATTTTTTAGATAAATCGTAATTCTAGACATGGCACGTTGAAGACCTGAATAATAAGGTGCTCCGGTTAACTAATTCAATTATAATTCATGCAATCTTCAGTTTAAAAGAAGGCATAAAGAGTTTAGTTTTGAATAGCAAACCTGCAGCAGATGCTGTTAGTATGGTCGTAAATCCAGCACTAGAAAGTGACGTATGTGGTGACGTTAAATTTGATGTTGGGGCGATGGTGGAAGTGGAAGTGGTGAAGGAAGTTGATTTGCTCCCAGAAACCCTTGGGATATTGGTAGACGTTGGCAAGGAAGATGTAAATGATACCAAAGATGGAGTTAATAGTGTTGTACCAGAAGAAATGGCTGAAGGTGATACCTCCGGAGAGTACACAGGATTTCCAGGGCTATCAGACATCTAAAAAACATACATATATATACATATACTGTTAAAGTTCAAAATCATAATATCATATTGATTCTGAGTTAACAATAAAATGATTTATTGCAATGTAATGATGACAGAGCAAAGCATAAGTACAGAAGTTATTTACACACATTTAGAACGAATTTGCAGCATTATAATTAACGTTTTAAATGAAAATATATATTTCTGAAATACTTTGTCTCAAACTGTGGTCCTATAACTCTGCCTTGTGGTCTTCAAAGATTTGCAAAAATGTCCTGTTATGTGCAAACGTGAAAATTAATAAGACTTCATATCATTTCTTGCTAATGACATGTGCACATCTTTCAGACTTATTCTCAAGATTAATCTCACTAAATTTCTGTCTACAAGCTAAATCTTTGACTGTTCCAAATACCCATGAAAAATTAGAAGGGTTTGAAAGAAAACTTGGTTTCTGGGTTAGTTGCGTACAGAACGGATTTTCATGAATTCTTGATCCTTTCCGTTGCGATTTTTAATACAACAAACTGCCATTGAATGAAAGAAAACAATGGGTTGAAACTTTCTAATGATACCAAACTTGAAATTCTAAGTAGAAGGTACGGTATGGTTAATTTAATGACCTCATTAACGATGATTCAGTTTACTTCTACGTATATAAGTAAGAGTTTTCATCACTAATTATTCAAATAAAAACAAAGGAACGAAATCGACTTAATGTACTTGTATGTACCGGTCTCAGACTTAAGCTTAGCATACATCCAAAAGTAGAATAGTGCAAGAATTGGCAAGCTTATCCTGTTATAAATGTAAATACTAACATTATATAATTTCTAGTTTAATTAGATAAAGATTAACCAAACCCTAACAGCCTTGAATTATTAAAAAAGAAAAAAAAATGCAGCTCTTCTATTAACTTCACTGATAAACACCAACGTAAAACTAAATGAATTTTGACCAATTTAGTTTTCAAACATAAGTATACTGGTAGTAACATATGTTAAGAAACTTGCTTTTGAAGGCTACAGATAGAAGCTAGACCAGCCTTCTGTGCTGCCATAGGTATTATATATATATATATTATGGCTGCCATAGGTATATGCCATACCAAGAGAGAGCACCTGGAGGGGGGTCCGAAGGTCTTTCATCCCTCTTTTCCCTGCCACAAGACTCTAGAGAGCATTTCGGATCCGGGATTTGAGCTTGAGCCTTTCATTGTGACAGTCAGCGTCACTAACCCGTCAGGACAGCCGAAAAGAAAAGCAGTTAAACATCCTTAAAATGATACTCCCTGACCTGAAATGATTTTGATCTCTGCAGCTGGTCTTTTCAGAGGGATGCTATTCAATACCGATGTTAATTAGCGTTTCAAGAAGGAGAAAAATGAGATGGTTCACAGAACATTATAATTTATAAAGGTGGCCTCCATTTGAAAAAATTTTGAGAAACGCCGCTCTATCGGATGGCCCTATTTTCTGAATGTCTCTCAATCTTAGTTTCCACAGTATGATGGCATTTCTTACAGTGAGCAACAATATGTTTTTCCCTATTCTTTCACCAATATCCACAGTTCGTCAAATGTTTTAAATCTGCATTTAGTAAAAATTTTTTCTATCACTCCAAAGGCACAAAAATT